TGGAAGGAGAGAAAAAGGAAAAGAAAACTTGTGAGTGAAAGAAAAAGTAGAATACTTCATCTATACTTTTTCTTTTTTTTTTTCCCCCTTGAAAAAAATTAGGCTAGGCTGCAAAAATCAAAAGGCATCAATCAGTGTCTTCAAATGTAACAATTACATTTTCACAAATTGAAGATCAGACAATTAGGGAGTTTGGTTTGAGCCGGAAGGGACATTTAAGATCATCTACTTCTAACCACCCTGCTATAGGTAGGGACACACCTCCCTCTAGATCAAGTTGCTCAAAGCCCCATCGAGTCTGGCCTTGAATGCTTTCAGGGAGCGGGAATTCATAACTTAATTGGGCAACTTGTTCCAGTGTCTCACCTCACTACCTCACAGTAAAGAATTTCTTCCTAATAATTAGTCTAAATCTAGTTTTTAAATTTAAACCCAGTTTAAAACCATTTCCCCTTGTCCTGTTGCTACACGCCCTTGTAAAAAGTTCCTCCTCAGCTTTCCTGTAGGCCCCCTTCAGGTAGTAGAAGGCCGCTATAAGGTCTCCCCAGAGCCTTCTCTTCTCCAGGCTCAAGAGCCCCAGCTCTCTCCGCTTGTCTTCATAGGGGAGCTGCTCCAGCCCTCTCATCATTTTTGTGGCCCTCCTCTGGAGTTCTTCTTGTGCTGGTGGCCACACAGCTGGACACAACTCTCCAGATATGGTCTCACGAGAGCACAGTAGAGAAGCAGAATCAGCTCCATCAACCTCCTGGTCACACTTCTCTTGACGAAACATAGTCATCACCATTAACTATGCATTTTAGTTGGCGATTAACAAGAGCCCACATGCTTTGCTTGTAAAAATCTCATCAGTGGAGGGGACACACTGCTGCTGTGGTTACTGCTAAAATGCACCAGTCCCCACCTCACTGTGCTCACATCCACTCTTAGGGCTCCATGCCACAAACATTCAGCAAATATCAATCAATGTTAATTGGGTGCAGTGTTTTCTGCACGGAGGAATTCAGTTGCACATCTTTGCTCCATACACACTCTCACGTCGAATGCCAATTGTCAGACTGCCCCGTCTGCTGCCATCTGTTGCATGGCAACAAAACATTGGAACGAAGGTTCAACCTCTACTGCCATAACACCAACTGATGGTCTCTGATGTCATGGGTTAAAATAATAAGACAGAAGGCATTAGTTTTGGAGCAGCCATTGTACATACACAAAAACCTTCCGAGATGCCAAACTGATCACCTGTACTAAACAGTGCAGCACGTTGCTTAAAGGTATAGTTCTCTCCCTTATTCTGATTCCCATGAGTAAGCACCTAACCAGTCACTGTGATTCCCCGCACAATTCCCTAGGTATCATTAAGAAATTGCCTCCTGGAGAAATGTTTTGCAAGTTCAAGAAAAATAAAAGGAAAAAAAAACCCCAGTCTTTTATTTCTTCAATCCTGACATTATCTGACACTTCACTGACACTTCAAAGAATTCTGCGTTGCTGCTACCATTTCTGGCATAATATTTTGCTGGTTAGAGTAAAATTACATTAATCAAATACAGTGCATTATTTAAAGTCACTGAACAGCTTCTGTTTAAGTCCAAACACCATTAGTCAAATACTACACAATTCACACTAATGGTATTTTTTTTTTTCACTCAGGCATCACAGTTTCTTGTATCCTGAAAATTTTGCATATAGTTCCACTAAGGTTTACACAGTTGTTTTTAATTAATTGCAACTTTTTATTATCTGATTTTCATTAATATGTACTTTTTGTGTCTTGGATTATATGTTGCTTCCTTACATAGTTTCAGAAAGCATTTTGACATACTCTGTCCACAGTCCTAAAGCTCAGCAATATTTGCTCATTGCTAGAGAGCTGACCACTGCTCAATCTGTGTGATATTCAATTTTGGGACAGGCAAGTCATAACCACTGAGGTACATATGCAAAAGTAAGCACAAAAATCTAAGCATGAAGGTTATTAGGTCATTTTCAGTAAGATAATTATAAACACAAGTAATTACAATTCATCTGTGCAGATAACATGGACACTGCACTACTGTAAAGGAAATCCAATGTGTGTCAGGATCTTCTTGCTTAATGTCTACAGCGGAGAGAAACAGACGGCACTTGGATATTTAGACAATCTGTAAATCTTCAATTATAAGCAGGTATGGGGACAAAGATCTACATGCATAAAGTGACAAGATAAAAATAAATGGGACACTGCTGCTTCACAGCACTTCATATCTCCTTAAAGCAATATACTTCGTCCACCCTACAGTCCTACAGTTACACTGAATGTTTAGAGACAGTTTACTGAACTCCTATTAGAACACGTAAAACTCTTCCAGAAAGATGTTTGTTTCATTTATAATATATTTGTAAGAAATGTTGGTTTAAACATGACAATACTGTTAACTAAGCACAACCTTTTTTTTTTTTTTTTTTTTTTTTTTTTTTTTTTTTTTTTTTTAATTTTTGTCTTGGTCAATCACAGCTCATCTGACAGACTAACACCGCCAAAGGAAAACTCCATGTGGATTGTCATTACTTTAATAAGGGGTTTGGGGTTACCAAATTGGTTTAAGAGAAGGGAGAAAGGAAAAATACAAAGA